CATAGGCATATTCTGTTGACTGGAGGCTCTAGAATGAGAGATGAGAAGAGAGAAAGAGAATATTCCTTCTTTTCAAGGAGATAGGGCCTTCAGCTTTGACACCAGAGGCTGGTATGAAAGAGGGAGACCACAACCTAAGTTCAAAGGTAGCCACCTAGAGTGAATCCCAGCAGCTAAGTGAAAGGTTCTCTTTTCACCTGGGCATTGCCTATGGACAGTGGAATGCCATCTTTTGTATCTATTTTGGCTACTAAGTTTGTTCATCTGGATATTAGATATCTCATAAAATTTCCAAACCCAAGGTGAGTGTTCATATATATTCCGTGATTGTGGATTTTGTGCAGTAAATCTTAAGTTTTAAATGTCTAGCCTTTATCATTGTAAAGAAAGCCTTCCAAATGCAAACCAAATGTAAGTGATGGAGAACTTCCTTCCTTATTCTGAAACAGTAGTTCTGAGAGGTCAGCATTTCCTTATTAATCTCAGCAGTGTGATGACTCTGAAACCTAATGAATTGTAAATGTTAATGTTAACTCTTTCACTGCTGATCATTTTAGTAGACAGTTATCTAGTGTGAGAATTACTAGATGAGAATCATCTATTTGCTATCAGATTGCTTTCAAGATATCTCCAGTCCTGCCCACAAGGGGAAAATGTCACCCCTCCCCATCCTCTTGCCAAAAGACTCAACTGCCTCTTATAATTTCCCTGGAACCAAAAGCCGGAACTATCCCCTGCCAAGCAGCCACAACCCTTAGCTTCTCCACAAGAACTATAGTTATGTGCAGAAATCTAGCATTGCTCATCTTAGCTTTGACTCCCTTTAAAGTTAATGGGAGTCATTCATCTTAAAAACTTGTCCAACTGTTTGAAAATTTATGTTCACGCTGATCATATAACTTTACATTCCTTCCTTAGTAATAAAAATATTCTTTAGGTTTTTCTATATTTGCTTTTACTTGTATATGAGAGTGGTTTAAAGGAATAAACACGGGGCTGGGAATCGAATTTGAGCTCTGTTCTATGCCCTTCTATCACTAACTGGATTTGAACAAGTCACTTAACATCTCTGTGTGTTTTCCCTTCTATAGAATGGAGATACAGTAATCACTTACCTCGCGGAGATGTTGTGAATTATTAACAAATGTTTGTACAGTGCTTTAAAGATATAAATAGCAATATAATATTTACCTCCTGTAGAGTATTTTTCATCCATAGATCTCAAAGTGCTTTCCAAAGGAAGGAGGGTGTAGTGTCTCTGTTTTAAATATGGCAAAACTATAGGATAGAGCAGTGGTTCTCAAACTTTTTTTTTCCGCAGATCACTTGAAAATTGCTGAGGGTCTCAGCAGACCACTTAATGATCTTTCCAAATGTTGTTTGTACTGTTAGCTAACTATTGTAAAGCGCCATGTAAAAAAAGCTTAATAATAATGTGTGTTTGTTCTACATATAAAAGCACACAACTCATGTTTTAATATCAGTAGTCTTACCTTTCTAATGTGATGGATGCGCTCTCTCTCCCCCACCACGGCAGCCCCCGAAATGGGGCTGGGAAGGAGGGGTGAGGGTCTCTCCCTCTCTCCCCCACCGTGGCAGCCCCCGAGCTGGGGCTGAGAGGAAGGCTGTTTCTCCCCGGCAGCCCCAGCCCTGGAGCTGGGGAAAGTCGCCTCTTTCTCAGGCTGCCGCAGCCCTGCACATCCTAAATTCCCCCCACTCCCTCTTCTCACCCCACTTCCCCCTCCCACCAACCCCCTATTCCCCTCAAGGCCACCACCTCACCTTACGTGTGCTGCTTCTCCAGGGTCCAGGCACCTAATTAGTGGAGCCACGCCAGCGCAGCTCCACTAATTAGGTGGGTGCCCCCTCATTCTCTCATGTGTGGCCACCCAGGTGCGCACTTTAGAGGGAACTCTCTGCAGACCACCTGAAAGGAGTGGTCTGTGGACCATAGTTTGAGATAGAGATTGTGATTTATCCAAGGTGTTACAACAGGTCAGGACTCAAGTCTCCCCTAATCCAGTACCCTATCTAATGGACCATATAATTTGTTTAATCTGCATAGCAGGATTTTGAAGTAAACTGCCCAGATTTTTCTTTTTATCAGTACTTGCTCAAGAATCTATGATGGTCACATTGTGCAAAAACTGTTAGTGCATGTAACAAGAAAAACAAACAATCACTTTATGTGGTCATTACAGGCACACCCAACCAGTTGGGCAATTTCCGTTTTAAATTAGTCTACATTGGTATATTTGTCAGTGTTCACAATTGTATAGTAGGATTATGTGGCCAGAAAAACTGCCATTATTCATTCAGAAAAATCCATTGTTAATACAGCCTTGGCTAAAGGAAGCTTGACTCAAGGAATTGCCATGGTAGGCATTAAGAATTCAATTTGTAGTCTACCCCAACCAAACCACTACTGCATATTATAAGTAGGTCATCATGTTTTCAAGTGTAAAGCTTAAACTTCGTAATTTGTAGTGTCTAAATTATTGTTCCTTTGTTTTCTTTAGCCAAATACAGAAAAACATTCACATTTGACTGTAGTGGGTGCTGAGGAGGGAAATGAGACAAGTCAACATTTGGAAAGCAATCATTTCATGTCAGAATTCCTCAGTGATGTACCCTTCACCCTAGCACCCCATGTGTTAGCAGTACAGGACACCTCTAATGGCCTTCCAGACCAATTGCTCTCCGACAACATCAATGATAATTTATCAAGATTTTGGTATGATTTTACACTTGAAAATTCAGTGCTTTGTGATTTGTAATATGTCTTTATCTTTCTGTCCCTTTGAATGTGCACTGTGACAACTTGAAGATAATTACACAAATATTTTGTTTTGTAACTTAACTGCTTAAATGTTTTTGTGGTATGCCATTTATATAACACATGCATAAAAACTAAAATAATTAAAATCTCATACTGTTTTATTCCTTAACATAGCATCTTACATTACACTTAAGTAACTTTTCAGAAATACTGAATTTGTTCCTAAAATAGTCAAGCAGAACTATTAGTTTTGTTTAATCCTGAGTAAGAGATCCATCTGTTAATGCATTAATTGGTGACTGTCAATAAGTGGACTGTAAATGCACACATTTCATTATTCTTACCTGTCATGTCATAGACTTCTGCCGCATTTGATATTTTACTCTGATGCCACAAATGCAAAGCCTGTTGTGCATATTTCTTTTTAGACTGTCTTTGCTTTTTCCAGGGATGGAAATGAATGCTGATTGTAAATGAAGTCATGCTATTTTGCACTGTAATAAGCAACTGATGCTCCAGTCTCAAATGCTGCTTTTTAAACTTCTGAAGAAAGTTTACAGGTTTAACTTTGTTAGTATGATTGAGTAGATTTTACCATACACAAAACATAAAGCTAGTCAGCTTCTCTTTTTTTCCAGTAGACCTTGCTGTTCATCTTACCACGTCACTTTGGTCTCTCTTTCTCAAGGGTTTTCTCTCTAACTGCCCTGTTTTTTCTCATTGCCACATGTGTTCCTGGTTTATGCATAGATCAGTTTTTCCTTTTTAACCTTTGTGCCCCCGAAAGAAAGAAATCTCAGGATATGTACTTTTAATGGTCATACCCTTGTTTTTTTAATTGTGGCCCAAAGATACAGATGGCAGTGTTTAACTACTACAAAACATTAAATTGTTCCATACCCAACTAAATACCTAAAAATTCATTTCAAGCCTTGAATATGCATATTTTATTATAGCTAAAACCTAACTAAATTGCTGTTGCCCAATGAACTGCTCACTGAAGTCTTTTGTAGTGTGTGTAAATAATTCTCTGTGCCATATGCAAGATTAAATTTGTTTTGACTATCAGGAAAAAATATATTTACTGTGCCAACTGTAAGTGGGTATTTTCATAAGAAATGTGTGACATGGGATATTTAAAAACATACATACAGGTTTTCACATTGGTGTGCTTTTAAGATGTTTGGGATAATAAATACCACAAACGATAGAGAAGCTATGTTGTAATTACATTTTGGTTTGTTAAAATGATCATATTTTCTCCGATTTTTTTTCTGGAAACCTATGCATTTCATTAGTTTGTTTGCAGTCTGTATCTGTTAAGTTTATAAATATGCTTTGAGCTACTTGTTTTCAGGGAAAGTATCTATATTGCACTTAAATAAAAGCTGTGGTTAAATAATATATTAACATGGTGGGTCTTTCTTTTTAAACATATAAGAGAATGCCATTATTATCTAATCCTTACATACATAGTACATTACAGTCAGGATTATCCCAACAACAGGGGGAATACTGAATAAGTTTGGATAACCAAGAGAATTTTCCAGTGTCACTAATAAATATCAGGGGTATGATTCTTTTTTTTTTTTTTTTTTTTTACAGAATGGAGTTTCACATACGGGACATTATGAATAATCTAGTTTATACTATATTTTCTGTGTTGTGCCCATAGATTCCAGTGGCACATCTGGCACTGATGACACTGTATTCTGAGGTTACCTTTTGTGATCCAAGAAGTGCTAAGATTTCACAGAGAGGGAAAATAGATTTTTAATAAGTTGGTTAGAACTTATTTCTGTGCTGAATTCCTTGGCTAGTGGGGACGTTAATTAAGTTCTGGTTTTCAGTGCTAAACTCAATTCTCATGTTTCTTTTGCATTTAACCTTTAAACTTTTACCTATCTTGAAAATGGCATATTCCTGTTCATATTGTTTTTCATCCCATAACTGATATTTGTCCTCAACTCAGCCATTCCAAGAGCAGAATTGCAAAACAGAGATGAGTATCCAACAAACCGATAGAACTGGTTCTTTCCACATTAGTAGACTTGTAAATACACTTTCTCCACTCTCCTATAAGATATTTTATTAAATTAAAACATTCCTCACTAGAATCCTGCTCTCAAATGCTCACAGACCAATATGCCTCTATATGCATAGGAAAAGAGCAGATGAGCACAGGATGGGAAAGTACACAACCATGACATGAAATACAGCTAGTAGGTCAAACATTTCACCTACAGCCATAACAGTATCTCTTTGGAAGGGTAAAATTTACATACAACAAACCTGCTAGCAATATTCCTCATTACCCTCTCTCTAAAAAGCCTAGGGGCTCAAATCCCTCTCTTGCTTGACATCATCCATAAAAAGTGTATACAGAATCCTAATGGTATCCAGACAGTCAAAGTAAATTTTCCCACTGGGAGATGGAAAATACACCCCCAAAAAATCTATTAGGAAATAATTCGATTTATGTGCATTAGCTCCTGAGCACTTGCCCACTACTAACATGATGACGACATTACATCATTAGAAAATTAAATGCTTTAGAATGTAGCTGTTTCCATTCAAACCTTAGACTGAAGAGAGTGATACATATTTATGTATGTGTTTAATGACCATACGTGTTAAATGGTTAGTAGACGGATGTATATACATTGGAATACATTTATATTTGTCACTGGTTTGTTAATTTAACAAATACCAAACTGTTTTATACAGTGTGGCTTGAATATTTATTTGGCCATAAATGAAGAAATGTAATTTAAAGCAGCATACAAAAATAATCATTTTAATAATTTCTAAGCAGAGAGAGTTAATATTAACATATTTTAAGTGTCATAAGGTATCATAGTTGCTCTATTACACATTCAATATACAAAATTCTGGGACAATTCAATTTATGTGTATTATGTATCTGAGCCGATTTTTGATAGCTTTGAAGTTTTTCATTTACAGTACCAATAATCTCTCAAGAGAAATTGAGTTGTCATCTCAAAAGCTAATGTTTATAGACATTTAGGGTCTGATCCTGTTTCACTGGAGAAAATGGAAGCTTTTCCATTGACCTCAGTAGGTGCAGTAACAGGCCTTTATTTTTTAATAAACAGTTTACCCAGACAGTCCCTTTTGTTTTTTTTCAGGGGAGGCTTTGAGTGTAATCTATGGTTAACAAAACCTCATTTTGCAAGGGATATCCTCTATAATGTGTGATGGCTTCCTTATGAATATTTTGTTATAAATCAAACTTAACAAAACATCTTTTATTTCGTCTGAAAAAGATGTGACTAAGACTTCGGAAAGGCCTAATTTTAAAATGTAGGGAAAAAGAGCGAAGTCCACATGTTCAGTGGTAAATCATAGAATAATTGCATCCAGAACAGCCCGACAGCAGGCTGATCATGAACCAGCCCCTACAAACAGCTCTTTAGCGACAAGCAAAACCAGAAATGGAACTAGATAATAGGGTGTACAAGAGATCTGCCAAGGAGACAGCCACAGACACAGTTGCTGCTATTTCCTGGAAAGTACAATCTGAAGCTTGACATCTCAGTGCTGCCGTTTCCAAGTTTACCCTTTGTGTGACTACAGGTGTAGGCTTTGGTCCTGGAACAAATATAAAAGGAAGAAGGCAAAGAGCATATTCAAGAGTGTAATTACTAGTGTTTCAAACTGATATACAATTTATATATAGTTTATTTTTTAACTTCATGGATAACATGCAAATTGATGAACAAAATGTAAATTCTTAAGAGCTACAAGGTTTTTATCCAGGAGGACTGCGCTGTTTGCACAAAAGACTAGAATGTATATCAGAGAAACAACTTTTTGTGAATTAAACGTCTGACAATCCTGCTTTGGGTTTTCTCTTCTCTCTACACCTAGTATGGGGAAGAATCAGACCTGAAACTATGGGGATATATAAGCCCTTTCCTTCATAGGAAGCTACAGATTGTTCCACCCATTCAACAGCAACATAACAATTCCAAATTCCCAGGGTTTTTTTGGATGGGGAACAGTTCCTGCCTGCACCCCCACTCGAGCATTGCCAGAGATAGTGTTGTTACATTAACAAGGTAGCAAAATTAAAAGTATAACTTTAAGTTCTTAAGATATTGACCAAACTATTAAAGAGGAACTTCCCCCTTCATAAACCATTTCAAAGGAAGGTTCTTCTAGCATGCTTTAGCAGGGAAGAAGGCTTAACAGGGCTAAGCAAAGGACTACAAAAAGCAAAGCATGTTCAATGCCTCTCCATTTCTGTATCTATCCTAGGTCCTTAGGCTGAACATTCTGAAGCTACATGTGGCGACTTTGTATAAACTACTAGAATTAGGCAGACAGGGTCTGATTTACTATTATCAATATATAAAAAGATTCCTTGAAGTGGCAGAGTTTGTCTTCTTCCCTATTTCCCCAATATTTCCACCATTAATCTTGCATGTTCCTTACCTGGTGATTAAGTCTGGTAATTATCCTCTTCCTTTGAATCACCTCGGAAGAATTTCAGAATTGGGGACCTTGTCAGTGAGCCACAACTCAGCATCTTTCACAATGACACAGTCTCCTTCAGGCCTGAGAGCTATCCCAGCCTTAATTCCCCAAAAAGATTCATTTGCACAGACCCCACATTACTATTTTGCCTTTCTTTTGTCTGGATCTAAAACAACGTAAAGAAGAAAGATGTGAACTTTATGGGGAAGCAAATATGCATATTTAAAGGGAAGCACATTCTCTGTTCAGATTCCCTTTGTACTGCCAGTCAGTTATAGGGAAGATGTTTCTAAATTATTGATATTCAAGATTAAGATGTGTATTTCAGAAGCAGACAAGGTCAGAGGCAAATCTGGTCCTCCAGGAATTACAATTCATTCAACCAGGTCCCTGGCTATTTCTGGGGCAGAGAGATCTCATGAAATCTTTGTCGGTATTTGCAAGGCTGCTCTTCTGCTCACACTTATGTTAGGCTAAAGGCAAAGTAACATTTTCATTCTTCTACACTTTCATGTCTGACGGTCTTCCTGAAGAAGCCGTGAGATCCAAAGCACTACCAAATAGATGATGCCCTCTCTGGATGCAACTTTTGATAGAAGAACTCTGCAATGGGCAGTGCCTTCAGTAGTTTAATTTCTTATCCAGATTTACTCTACCAAAAACAACTGGTTTGCTCTGAATTTCCCTCTCCTTTAGAGCCTCACTAATTCTTAAATCCTTCAGTAGGAGTGTCTGAAAATTCTAATTTCTTTTCTCCTACTGCCATATCTGAGAATCTACCCCACCTTAGTTATGGGTTCTGGGATATCCTTAGATATATTTGTTTTTTTTCCATTCACTCACTTTCAGGATATTAAAATGTTGTTTGGTTCTTTACAAATAGTTATGAATTAATTCATGTTTAACAGTTAAGTGTTGTTACAGCTTTGAGAGCAATGCTGTCTGAAGCTTCTTATGAAAGGACAAGGCTTTCTCCTGCACCTCTTGTTCTGTCCTTTAACTGCACGGGAAAGGAGGATGCACAGTGGGAGTGTCAGAAGATAGGAGAAAAGAAATTAACAAATGAGACACAATTTTCCTTGCATATCATTTTGCTGTAGAAGACATAACTAACCAAAACTGAAACGTACAAATGAAATTAAGTGCAGTTGGACAGAACGTGGCATATGGGAGGTTAAAGTCAGAAAATAATTGGGGCATTTGTCCCCGCCTCATTCTGTGAACAAGATCTTGAAGGCTTTTTCAAAGAGAAAATTAGCAGTATCAGCTATAGCCTCCCTTCTATCATCCTCCTGTTCATTATACCAAAACTGCTGTTGCCACAGTTTTCTGTCTAGACCTTCAGGACAGGGACAGATTCTTTATGTATTTGCACCGTACCTAACACAAAGAGCTCCTGATCCTGGCTAGGGCCTTTTGGCAGTACTGTAATGTAAATAATAGAGTCATGGAGTTAACATTTAATTGATTGCATACATCCTGTCAACAGAGTTTCTGGTTATTTTGTTTTTATCTTTAGCCCTCTCTGTTGCAGGCCTGTGGTCTGAATGCTTTCAACAAACCAAAACATGAAGGTAAATATTCTAATAAGGTTTACTACTTACCTGTCAGTATGAAGGAGTAGCTCAAAGATAGTTAGATTTTCCTTAACCATGGTACATAGTAGACACAAATCTGACAGATTCTTTCAGAGAAGCAAAGGCTTATGGGCAGCCCAGAACTGTTTTTTTTTTTTATAATAAACAAGCAGTTGTGAAGATTTCAGTGTGTAACCTAGCTTATGTGAAGAAGTTGGAAAGACCTTTCCTAGTTCTACAACAAAATGCAGCATCTGGTGGTGTCGGTGGAAGTTGTGATAGCCCCAGAACAAGGCAGTAGCTGTAGTGCAGAGAAAACAGAGGGTTTAGTTCAGCCAGCCAGCCAGTTCAATTCAGTTTTATCTTTGTTGCAGAGATAAAATAAACTCTTGAGATCAAAGATCTTACTTGCAAGGATGTCCTGTTAAGTCAGTTGACACATATACATCAGTATTAAGACGTAAAGGAAACTGCTTATAAGTAAGCAACAAATATATGAACCTCAGTAATTAACATCTCACATGCAACCATTTGTAGAAATCATTACACATTCAGTGCATCCATTCAAACTCAAATATTTATATAGCAGTTTGTAAAGGTCAGTTCTGGGCATTCATCTAAATCCACTGGAAAAGAATTCTAAAAAAGATGAGGTACAGCATTCAAAGAATCTTAGGCTCATGAAGGATGGCATTTAGATAGTCTAGACAGTGCAAGCAAACAGGCCTCCAGAAGTGGTATGGAAAATATTTTATTTAAAGAGACAGGTGTCTTATTCAAATTAAAGAATTGTATAAGGTCCATAAAGTAGACCTAAGGACATGTACTAGGATCCTGGTAAGAGACTGTTACCCATCCAATTATTATTTCTGCTGGACTAGCTATTGCATGATCACTTTAGCAAGAATATGGTCCTTTCCCTCAAGCAAGTTGCACAATATGTGATGCTTCTGGATTGTGCCATACTTTCCTTCCTTTCAACTGCCATTATGAGCTACGAATGTATCAGCATAAATTGTTCTTCTCACCCAAAAATTTGGGACAGTTTTGGTTGCACCACTAACTTTTTAGATAGACTTGCTGGCTAAGTGGTATTGTGGATCTTCTATTGTTACTTGTTTTGCTTTTTGTCTCTTCCATAATGTCAAAATATAGTTCGCTCTTGTTCGATCTTACCTTCCGTTAAATTAATGTTGCTTAATGTTAAACTACGTATGGCCTCCTTTTAAATGGTAGTGTGGAGTAGATTTAAATATCTACTA